CTAATATTTTCCATTGATTGAAAAGTAAGTATTCAATGAATATTATCAAATAAATATTGTATTTAAACTATTTGAAAGATATTGAATAAATATTTAATAAAAATATTATATTTCCTTAAGATAACAAATATTTAAGTAAGATAGAAATATTGAATATTGAATAAGTATTTAATGAATATTCCGTGCTATCGGGGTTAGTCAATCTGGATATAACTGCATGCAGGGTACTCACGGTAACATTGAACCTATCATCTACAAACTTGAAGATGGCTGTTTGATATCCAGCAAACCATAAAAATATACAGGTTTCTTTATATGGAGTTAGTTTTCCATATGGCGCTGCCTCATATTTAAAATGGTCACTACCACGGAATTTCACTGAAATTTTTTCTGCGACTGTCTTTTGCTCACTCGAAAATGCTACAAAAACTCGTTGCTAGTTTTTTTTACTCCGAAGCAGCTGCGCAGAAAAAGCCTGAATGCCAGGGCAGTGAGGCTGCTCTGAGGAGCTTAAGGAAACTTTATTAATCCCATTTTTAAACTGCCCAAGTTAGGTAGAACTGGGAAAAGCCTCCTCATCTCACCACAATCTCGATACACTATGGACAAAAAAGTGGTTGTATCGGCCAGTTCTGAATTTACGAAGTTCTACACCTTTAGGATGGGAGGTCGAAGTCAGGCGAGTCTACCTGACAGGCCATCGCGCGGCGGCATCATTGAGGAGAGCTCTGAGAAGCAATGCCTTTAGCCAAGCGTTAGAAGATTGCCGATGGCCCATCCCTGCGAAAGTGTCCCCAGTCTGTCCGTTAGAGAAGAGTCATCGATCAGTTAATGCCTTTTGCGAAGCAATATTAGTCCTCAAGATAGGTACAGAAGGTTCTGTACGAACAGCGGACTAGCTGTCTTATTTTTCAGGTCGGACGGACGAAAGCATCTTGTTTAACCTGTTCAAGGCAAGTAAACCACTTCTACTCTCAGCCAGAATCATCAGCCATCTAGTGGCACAGCTATTAGACTCGAACTGAGATCTTTGACAGTTCCAATTAATAGCAGCGGTGGGCGACCGATTCTAGTGCAATAGATGGCGCTTTGCGCTACCTCATGCAGACAAACCGTACCTCCGGTAAAGAGGTTCATTGTGATACTTTCGTTCGTTCGGCCAGAGGACACCAAGCCTATACCATGCTGATAAGTAGCTAAGAAGGACGAAACAGTTGTCCATGGTTGTCTGTCTTTGATGTCTGGTCGGATGGACGAAGGCATCTTGTGTGCAAGGCAAACAGACCACTTCTACTATCAGCCAGAATCATAATCCATCTAGCGGCATATCAATTAAACTCGAACTGAGATCTTTGGCAGTTTCAACTAATAGCAGCGGTGCGCGACCGATTCTGCTGGGATAGATGGCGCCCATGCAGATATGAAGTCGCTTAAATGTGGACAAAGTTGCGTATATTATGTAGTCAATAAAATGCCGCTTAGAAGTTTCGAAATTCAGAGTACTACCCGAGACAGGATGAGAAAACCGAATTTCCCCAAAACCGTTTTAATCTTTTACTGACTTTAATAGTAGTGAGATTTCAAAATAAATTGCACATTAACATTGACACTTTTTCTCTTCTACAAGATGGCATAATTAGAATTCCAATATGACGTTTCTCTCGTGTCCTTCAGTATCAACTTTATTTTTTTAGGACGCCATATTGTATTTTTGATTTCAAAAATGTATAATGTAGGATTGACATTGCCAACCCTTAGTTATTCCAGAAAAACATAATTTCCTAGGTAGGCCTTGAAATTATCAGATTTAATTCGTTTCGTATACCAGACCGGCACGGGTATCACGTATCTTGAAAAATGACATTATGCCGATTTTTTTTTGACATTATGCTGGTTTTTTTACATTATGTAGGTTATTCTACAAGATGTTAACTTAGCACTTAGTTGTACGTGTTGCCTAAACGTCATGAGGCTTGATATCAATCTTTGCCTCTGATGTGATGTAAAATCTGCTTCTGAGATGGCATTACTGGAGGTCTAAGCTGTAAGTTGTATGTGTTGATGATAATTACTTTGGGTTCTTGTCTCAAATACACTTAATTGAGATTCAAAGCTAGAAATTAGATGCGCATCCACTTTTTCTTATCCATTCTGGAAATTACATATACAAATTTGCTGAATTTCTCAAATGAGAGAGATAAGAAATAATTATATTCACTGTACACTGTCGAATTACAAGCCATATACATGCTAACAGTAATTGCACACAACGCGGGCGCGGTGATGATTTCCCGTAATTCTCCTCAGTTTTTCGTAATTTACAACATTGAACATAACCTCTCTTCAGAAAGCACAACATATAAATAACCCGTAATATTCAGTAATGATTTTCTCACACAGCAAATATTACTGATTTTAAACACATTCAGATCAATACACATAATCATCCAGATGCGATCTGGCTATTCAACCAACTTTCTTCTCAGAGATAAAAACTACAGACCCGGATCACTCAGCCTCACGAAACTATGCAATCAATAATGCGTAGTTTAGTTGAGTGATTCCTCCATAGATGGACATTCACAATGATCCTAATGAGCAAAGGTGGAATGACTGTTTGCGCCCTAAAAACTTCATGGTCTGCAAGTTGACATCTTCTAGGTTTTTTTGACTGTTTTTAGGTTTTTTACATGATACCCGGGCAGACCTCAAATTGAACATAATAAACAGACTTAAGAAGACTGAGAAGAAGAGAAATCAATCGGGCAGTAAATAATGTACAGAAGAATCAGGATTTGCCTACAAAATAACGAACATTTTGAACATTTGCTATGATTTACCTTTGCTGAGCTATTATTGTTATTTCCATATTGTGTTCAGGTTTCACCATACCTGTTTATTAGTTTATAATTTTCATCCTGAATTTAGGACTAAAAAGTCCATTTAAATGTATCAAATTCCATTACAGCGTCCATATGAAAAAGAAGTTGGTGAAGGAAGTCGAAAGAAAAAATGTCGAATTAAAAATTTGACTACGCCATCTTGTAGAGGAGAATAAGCAACATATAATTGAAATCCCATTTCGAATAAATTCAGAAAAAAATAAAAGTGAGTTTGGGATCTGGTATTCAAAACAAAAAATGACAAAAGTATAAAATCCCCGAGCGCAAAATTATGACAGTTCTAGGTCATACTTATAGAATCGCAAACGCGGCCGCCCACGGTCGGCATCATCAACGTCGGCACCAGGGGAGTGAAACTCATATGGGTGAATGGAAAACAAAGCAGTGTTTGCTGGTGCACAATATGACAACCTCATAAAATGGCGGCTTATTCACAGCTGACGTTGTCTGATTTGTCAGATTTAAATTTCCGGCGGGTTTCTTCCTATACTTTGCAAAAATTACCTTACTTTTCTCAGCATGCCATTTTCGTAACATTTCACTTCAATTCAATAAGTCCCTATTATGTGATTTAAGACATATGCCTTTTGTTCAGAGTTGTGAAGTATAAAAATGTAAGTACACAAAGCAGTAATATACTTGTAAATACTATAAGACAAACTCCAAATCAAAACGGTTTATTTTTTAAGGTGATCCAAAGTATCTCAGTCAGTAACCAGGTTTCTGGCAGATCCTGAACAAGATTAGAGATGCAGCAGTTACTCATTTGAGGAATGTAATATTTGAATATCATACCTGTTGGAATCTCCATATAACATTTTGAACAGTGTAGCACTACGAAAAGTTCAGCCGCCGTTGTCAACCCCTGAGGTACTGAGAATAATTCTCATTATCAGAATTTCGGAGATTACTTGTGATCTAACCAAAGGGCACAGCTCTGAAAGATATTTGTACAGACATTTGTAAGTTTTTATATGACTACATAACCAGTGATGATTTGTACTGATTTTGGTCCAAGTTAGCTCCCATTCTTTATTTTAAATCAGCTATTGTCAGATCAGCAGGTAGATATGCAAAGGTCACTATAGTTTCAATGAAATCAAAGCCACATGTTGTTATTGAACAATAACATGGGTGCCCACAGGAAGGTGTGAGGGAGGGCATGGTCAAACCTGGGAATTCCCTTTAACTTTAAAATTTGCATATTTAGCATGCTTTTATGCACAACTTTGAGAATTTTCTTTATGATTTGTCCCCCCTGAGAAAATTGCTACCTCTGCTCATCAAAAAATTTTGGGGGCATGTACAATTTCACAAAAGGTTATCTCTCGATGATGATCAGCACCTCTGAGAAAAATTCCGCTAGGTACCCATGGACAATAATATTATTGTTCTAAAAGAAATCTGTGAATTGTAGTAACATATCAACACAATTCAAAGGCTGGGGAATGAAAACATCTGGACCATAATAATGTTAATACTGATTTGTTTGTATAAAAACGTATGAGATTTATATAATTTATATATTTAGGTATTTGCAAAATATGTTTTTCTTCTGAACCTTTCCAGATTAGTAAGTAGATATGAGTGATCTTATAACAGCTTATGTTATTAATGTTGCTATTTTGACATAAAAAAGCATTTATTCGTCAAGGTAGTGCAAAATTTAATAGCACATGCTGTTATAAGGTTCCAGATCCCACCAAATTTCTATATATAAAAGCATAGCAATCTCAGATTTCTATGTAGAGCTGGGGTATTCATGTACAATCTGGCAACCATGTCGCATCCTCAAAAAATCGCCGCTGACAACCACACAAGTCACCGTGTTGCCATTGAATAGCATGGAATTAAACCTTCTTCAGTGTCATATGTTTTGTGGTCGACACCATGGGGAGTCAACTCATATGGGATAATGGGAAACAGTGCGATGTTGCCGGACCACAACCTGACAAAACTGTGGCATCCGGAAAAATGGCGGCTTTGACAGGTATGACAGTTTATTGATGTCACTTTTAGTTAAACTCTCTTTTATTTGTGTCTTAATGGCCTCGAAAGTAGGTTTTTCGTAACCACAAATTTTACTGAAGTCGTTCTTATTTAAACTACATTTTTTGTTTAGTTGATGAACTTTGGAATCCTGAGTATAACACCTTACATGTTGGTAAAATTCAATAAGGGAACAACTCATTTTCTTCTAGGTGATTGTAATCAACAAACGGTGCATCCTGATCCCCTGAAAGATGGTTTAGTGATAGTGAGATTCTATATTTGAAGGAGTGCTTCAGGACCATGGCTAATGTATTTCTCAATCATTGCCAATGTAACTTCATGTCAAATTGAGTGATTTGTCGAGCCTATCTGTTTATATTGGTATTCTGTATTGATATGAGAAACTCACGACAATTTACGTAGATTTCAAGTTTTGAATATACTATATACTTCAACTTAAATGGTTTTTTACATTTTTAAATATTTATAGCTTATTGAGTAGTTGGTAAAAGTGAATCGAAAGTCATCAGATATCCTGATAAAATATAGTCAACATGTTTGAATCATATACTACTATTTATCATTGAAAACAATTTGTTTTCATAACTAATTCTGACTATTTTTCCATGGAGGTGCTGCAGAAGACCATTACAAGAATGAAAATATTTGGACCATAAATATTATTGATATGTTCATACAATATAGAATTTAGATAAAAATATATTTTCAAGTATAGATTTTTTTACTGTTTTCAAAATTTTATAATTCCATGTGTTATTAACATATTTATTTTTTGTTTTGACAAATAAATAGATAGACTTGTTTGTTTAAGCAGCAGCGTTAGTCTCAGTAGTCTTTCATTTGAGATAAATGTTTCCATCACTACATAATTTCTACATCTAGTGGCTATGTTGCCAAATCCTGGATATTAATATACCTTGATTTGATTTGTCGAATTCTTACTTATACTTACTTATACTAGCGCAAAAATTTACAATGGACAGGATTGTAATGCCACTGCGATTTGGAGGTGTGAGGTGGTTTTTCTGTACTAAATCTACCTCGTTCCCTACGATAGCGTTACCTAAAGACACTTGAAGAATGCCGTATGCCCTTCACAAACATTCTTCGGTTATTGTTTTTCCTATATTATAGATAGTTATAATCTATTTGCTTTTTGTAAGTATGTACTTGAAGAATTATTTAAAGTGAAGCCGATGTTACAAATTATACCTAATTAAATGTGATATGAAGTTGAGTCATTAATTTTCAGATAATGATTGTAGAAGGAAGATAAACCAAAATATGTGTGTAAAAATAAAAAAAAATTAAAAAAAAAAATTTACCTTGTTTTATAAAGTATCATCCCGACAAATATTTCAGTGCGGACCTGTATTTGATCGTGAGGTCCCCTGTGAGGTCTTAAGTCACCTGATTCACGAGCCCGTTGCACTACATTAACAAAGGCACGAGGGGTTGGTTGCACTCGATTGGGAAACCGATCCGCATAAACATGTGCCATTTTTTATTTCGTTTGAGCCACGCAACAGACACTATTCACACGCGTTACCGACTGACGACACTGACTGTATGTATAACTGAACTGAATAAAACAATTGTTAAAACATCGTTCCAAATTCTTTCGCTTTTTTGTTTCCGATGCGATGAACCGATAAGGCGGATTATATCCGTTGTTGCCAAACACGAGCACATGATATTATTATTGAGACAGGGCGGTACTCAAACTTCCAAAGGGCTATAACTTTGTTACTTTAATTTTACCAGAAAAATGGTAAAGGAAAAAACATTTCTTTTGATCAGATCTACTCACTGTTAAAATAAATGACGCAACTTCGAAGTCACCCTGTATATACAGGGTGACTTTGAAGTTGAGTCATTAATTTTCAGATAATGATTGTAGAAGGAAGATAAACCAAAATATGTGTGTAAAAATAAAAAAAAAATAAAAAAAAATGTTTACCTCGTTTTATAAAGTATCCTCCCGACAAGTATTTCAGTGCGGACCTGTATTTGATCGTGAGGTCCCCTGTGAAGTCTTAAGTCACCTGATTCACGAGCCCGTTGTACTACATTAACAAAGGCACGAGGGGTTGGTTGCACTCGATTGGGAAACCGATCCGCATAAACATGTGCCATTTTTTATTTCGTTTGAGCCACGCAACAGACACTATTCACACGCGACTGACACTGATTGTATGTATAACTGAACTGAATGAAATAATTGTAAAAAACTCGTTCCAAATTCTTTCGCTTTTTTGTTTCCGATGCGATGAACCGATAAGGTGGATTATATCCGTTGTTGCCAAACACAAGCACATGACATTATTATTGAGACAGGGCGGTACTCAAACTTCCAAAGGGCTATAACTTTGTTACTTTAATTTTACCAGAAAAATGGTAAAAGAAAAAACATTTCTTTTGATCAGATCTACTCACTGTTAAAATAAATGACTCAGCTTCGAAGTCACCCTGTATATACAGGGTGACTTGTAATGTCACGTATTCCTGTTAAGGGGTGATAGATTAGGTCAAAAGCAACCGGTTTTGTCCTATCATGTCTTATCCAAAAGTTAACCATTTTTGAGTTATTTGAATTTTAAATTTTTTATTTTTTATTCCGATTTCAGACGGTTAAAATTGAAATACAAAAAAACTGCATGCTTGATTTTGAGTTTTAAATGTATCATTTTCTTTTTTTTTTACTAACTTATTCGATAAAAAATACAGTTTTCTGTAAAAAATCTCCTAGTAATGAAATGTGCAAATTATGTAAATAATATCTCTATCTAACAAGCTTTCATTTGAGTAAAGTTGTACGAACGATAATTACGTAGGATACATAAAAGGCTTTTATTTTAAGTACAGTTTTATTTAATTACATTTCCTTTAGTATTTTACAGATTCTGCTCAAATTGTAATCCTCTGTTACGAATACACGCCCGCATTCTCTTACGTAATTCACTTTTGGTAACTCTAGTTGTTAAGCGGCTTTTTATTTGGTCTGCTGCACTGATTATCCTTGTAATTAATTCATCGCGCATTGGTACGGGCGAAACATCGTACACCAGGCTTTTCATATGACCCCACACATAGTAATCCATCGGTGTGAGATCTGGGCTTCTTGCTGGCCAGGAAATGGGCCCAGTCCATTGATTTGGAAATTTAGAGTCTAAATACGCCCGTACTAATCTACTGTAGTGTGCGGGACAGCCGTCGTGCTGGAACCGCATATTTTGTCTCGTCGCCAATGGGACGTCTTCCATTAATGGAAACAATTGATTTTTCAAGAACTCTTCATACATTTCTCCATTTAAATTGGAGGGCAGAAAATGAGGTCCAATTAAATATCCATCAATGATGCCCATCCACACATTGACTGAAAACCGGCTCTGACACCCCGTCGGTATCAACTACTGCGTACGCGCACACGTTTTACGCACGATTATTATTTTCGAGTTTCCCAGTTCATTTCGAGTGGTTTCTTTATCATCATGGCAGACGCAGAAGATCCGCCAGGACCTCGCCATAGCGAGCACGGGCAAACTTTTACAAATGAAGAATACGCAGACATGATGTTCTGTTATGGACTTTGTAACGGCGATTCTGCAACTGCCCGCCGTGAATATCGGCAACGTTTCCCGAATCGCCGAACACCTCATGTTACTGTGTTTGACTCTGTGTATCGGCGCATCCGCCGTGTTCAAAGGCAACATAGCGATGCTGGTCGACCCCGAGTCTATCCTCCTGAAGATGAAGAGGAAATCCTTCGTGTGTATCAGGAAGACCCTACTACGTCTACGCGCATTGTGGCTGCTCAGTTGGGTATATAACAATACAAAGTATGGTTTACTGTGCGTACTGCAAGATTGTACCCTTATCATGTGCATGTGATTGAAGAGGGCGATCCTGCAAGACGATTAGATTTCTGCAGGTACATGTTACATGCAGATACAGAAGATCCAGACTATTTTAAGAAAATTCTGGGGACCGATGAATCGAAGTTTGATAAGGATGGGATCACTAACTACCATAATGCTCATTACTATGCTGATAAAGAACCTTTAAACCCCCGAAAAATAAGACCGACGGGATCTCAGAGCCGGTTTTCAGTCAATGTGTGGATGGGCATCATTGATGGATATTTAATTGGACCTCATTTTCTGCCCTCCAATTTAAATGGAGAAGTGTATGAAGAGTTCTTGAAAAATCACTTGTTTCCATTAATGGAAGACGTCCCATTGGCGACGAGACAAAATATGCGGTTCCAGCACGACGGCTGTCCCGCACACTACAGTAGATTAGTACGGGCGTATTTAGACTCTAAATTTCCAAATCAATGGATTGGCAGAGGCGGGCCCATTGCCTGGCCAGCAAGAAGCCCAGATCTCACACCGATGGATTACTATGTGTGGGGACATATGAAAAGCCTGGTGTACGATGTTTCGCCCGTACCAATGCGCGATGAATTAATTACAAGGATCATCAGTGCAGCTGACCAAATAAAAAGCCTCTTAACAACTAGAGTTACCAAAAGTGAATTACGTAAGAGAATGCGGGCGTGTATTCGTAACAGGGGATTACAATTTGAGCAGAATCTGTAAAATACTAAAGGAAATGTAATTAAATAAAACAGTACTTAAAATAAAAGCCTTTTATTTATCCTACGTAATTATCGTTCGTACAACTTTACTCATCTTATTTTAATTTTATGTCGTTGTACTTGAGTTAGTTGTAACTTTTATACCTCAAATGAAAGCTTGTTAGAGATATTATTTACATAATTTGCACATTTCATTACTATGAGATCTTTTATATAAAATTGCATTTTTTATCGAATAAGTTAGTAAAAAAATTAGAAAATCATACATTTCAAAAGCGTAATTTTAAAACTTTTGTAAGTTTTCAACATTTTATTACTTATTATGAACTATTAGAATGTCCGCTATGCGACGATAACAAAAAACTCAAAATCAAACATGTAGTTTTTTGTATTTCAAATTTAACCGTCTGAAATCGGAATAAAAAATAAAAAAAATAAAATTCAAATAACTCAAAAACGGTTAACTTCTGGATAGGACATTATAGGACAAAATCGGTTGCTTTTGACCTAATCTATCACCCCTTAACAGGAATACGTGACATTACAAGTCACCCTGCATACAGGGTGACTTTGAAGTTGAGTCATTAATTTTCAGATAATGATTGCAGAAGGAAGATAAACCAAAATATGTGTGTAAAAATAAAAAAAAATGAAAAAAAAAATTTACCTTGTTTTATAAAGTATCCTCCCGACAAGTATTTCAGTGCGGACCTGTATTTGATCGTGAGGTCTTGGATCACCGGCATGCCGTCCCCTGTGAGGTCTTAAGTCACCTGATTCACGAGCCCGTTGTACTACATTAACAAAGGCACTTTGGGTTGGTTGCACTCGATTGGGAAACCGATCCGCATAAACATGTGCCATTTTTTATTTCGTTTGAGCCACGCAATAGACACCACTATTCACTCACGCGTTACCGACTGACACTGACTGTATACAACTGAATAGAATAATTGTAAAAACATCGTTTCAAATTCTTTCGCTTTTTTGTTTCCGATGCGATGAACCGATAAGGCGGATTATATCCGTTGTTGCCAAACACGAGCACATAATATTATTATTGAGACAGCGTGGTACTCAAACTTCCAAAGGGCTATAACTTTGTTACTTTAATTTTACCAGAAAAATGGTAAAGGAAAAAAACATGACTCAACTTCGAAGTCATATGAGCAGTAGTGATTGCCAAAGCCAACGACCAGTTGGGTACAAAATACAATTAATTGTTAATTGGGAAATTGGCAAAACTTTTTGGCTTAAGTTGACTCTTTTGACGATAAAATCAAGCTTTCGGCATTCTCTATGGAGCCTTCATCAGGATTCTGAAAACACAATTGTGATGCTAGCAAAGAAAACAGAACAGATTTAAATTGTCAAACAATATATATATATATAGGGTGGCGCATCGAAAACGAAACAGACGCATTTACCGGCAGCTCAGTTTTTTTTTTAAACGCTCAGACCCGTCGATTTTGTTTTCGAGGGGGACACAAGTTTGGCAAAAAATCACGTTAGCACGTGCAGCACCCTAAGCGGGGGTGACGCACCCCCTAAGTCTTAAATGGACAGGGGGGTCGAGTGATACCTTATTTTAAAGGTCTTTCAATTCCCTTTATAATGATATAAAATTAATGTACTTCAGTTCAGTAGTTTTGAAGATATATTGATTTAAAGCTTAAATGAAACTAATACATCATCATTAGTGGTGATCAATACATTTGGCAGCAAAGCAATTTAAAAATTATGAATGAACTGACCCGTTAGGCAAGTAAATGTTGAAAATGGCCACCATGATTCTCCATGCAATAACAAAGATTTTGCTCAAAACGTTGCTGCACATTTTGCAATATTTGAGGAGTAATTTGAAGGCACTCATTCACAATTCTTTGTCGTAGGTCTTCTAATGATTATGATGATTTTGTTTTTTACAACTTACTCGTCGGTAAGGTTGCAGCCACAAGGTGTTTCAGAACGAACGTAGAGAAGTTCGAACTTGTAATCAGTATAAAAACAAAAGGACGGGGACATTGGGCTTATTGAAAAACAACAGATACCTTCGTTAAATGTTAAAAATATCAATCTACCCGAACAAGTTAAAAATATTACACGTGAGAAGACATTTTGTTGAAACAATCGGAATGCAGTCTCTAACCTTCTACTTCCGCTACACGTGGAGATGGGGACGGCACGGAAAGATAAAGCGTCGACAGATGACAAGTGATTGACGCGACGGACCTTGGAACTGTAAACCTCCCTGTCCAACTTTGGGTATGAAGTAAACGAGGGACGCTCGGTAAACCTCCACCCATATATATATATGAGAAATTACTGAAAAAGTAGCTGTTGCCAGTCACTAAATAATGAAAACAAGGCAAAGAAAAACATTGAAGGTTTTTTGATGATTTGATGAAATGGTCGTTGATATTTATTTAACTATACCTAATGTTGGACGACAATATGTTGGGTGGGCCTGGCGACGTGGTCCAAGTCGACGAATTGTATTTAGGTATTCTTATATGCAATGACCTTTCATATTTTTTATGTCACGCGAGCCGCTGGTGTATTGTTTAGACACATACTGTTCAAAATTTCTGTAACTACTAGGAACAACTTCTCATAAAACAAGCCATTTAAAATAAATTAAGACTTTTATTTTTGCAAATAACCTCATTTTTATTACATATTTCTCCAAAAAAAAAGTACAGCTTATCTGTCAAAAAATGAACGTTATAAAATGGCCATTGAGAATTGTTTGTACCTACTTTCAAATATTTCTTATAAACGCAAAAACTTTGATCTCATTGGAACTATGCGAAATAAATAGTTGGGGAATTTCAAGAAGACATTGAAAGATCACAACACAAAACCTCTACACAGTTTACCAAGTAAATACCATCGTTTACGGTATGTATTTGTATTTTGAACAGTTATTTTAGCTTTTTATACAGCTAGGTTTGAACCTTTGCAAATAACAACGACATTTTACAGTTTCACATCTATTTTCTCTAATACTATACAGTGTATGTTATATTATTATCATATAAAGCATCCTTTTGTGCAAAAAACAAAAAAAGACACCGTATAAAACAGTATTCTATTCAAGAGCATTATCACCAAAAATGAAACTTTGATCTTCTATAAAATAGCAAACATTTAAGAAAAAATTGTATTTTCAAAAAAGATACATCCTAATCTTACATTTTAAAATAAGAAATGAAATATTTGCGATATGCGCTAAAGTATAGTCTTACCCGAAAAACCTACGTGCAAGGCCATCCAGACACAAATAAAAGAGAGGTTAACTAAAACTGACTCAATAAACCTTCATACTTGTCAAAGCCGCCATTTTTTCTGGATGCCATAGTGTTGTCAGGTTGTGGTCCGGCGACGCCGTACTGTATCCCATTCTCCCATATGAGTTGACTCCCCATGGTGCCGACAGTGGGCGGCCGCGGCTGTGATTCTACAGACATGATCTAGAACTGTCATAATTTTGCGCTCGGGGATTTTATAATTTTGATTCTATCACGGGCAACCTGAGTGCAAAGTCGCTCTCGACGTTTACTCTAAAACAGAATAATGCAAAGCAAATAATTTATCCTCACTGAAACAATACCACAAAGTTAAAGCTCCAGCATTGAATCGCTACTTTTTATTTTAAGCTTTATGCATCAGTTTCTCACTGTTACGTGCAAAGAGTCCCAAGCTCTAAACATAAAATAAGTACATGCAAAGCGTACCAAGCTTTGAGCAGTCAACAATTCCTTGAATGCGTACCAAGCTTTAAGCACAAAATAAATATATGCAAAGCCTACCAAGCTTTAGGCATTTAACAATTACGTGCAAAGCGTACTACTACTTACTCATTCTCTAAATCCTCAAGAAGCTCCTCCATGTTCATCGGCATCGACCAATCAGTAGGCCAGTTCCTCTGTTGTTCCTTATCAGCCTTAGTTATAAGAGATTTGCCGATTCTTCTCATTTTGTAGCGACCTTCTGGCATAATGCCGACAATTTCGAAAGGCCCTGGAACTCATATTTCAATTTACCTTGATGCATTGTATCATCGCGATGCATCAGGACAAAGTCTTCAATGCTGCAGCTCTTGACACGTGCTAAAATCACGTAACCTTTTTTTACTATTTTGATCACTTACTAGTAATTTGAGTTTCTCTTTATTAATGATGGAGTGCCCATTCCTAGGTCAAACCCTTTTCAATGACTTTCTTTTGGTAAATTTCATAGTTTATTGATTATATAATTTCACACGTAGTACATCTGCCTTTCACAGTTATTCAGTAGTGTTGGAAAAAAAACTCAGTGGTTTTTCTCTCCGTTACTTGGTCTCCTGTCAAACATATCTTCTTCAAGGCCACTCATTGAACCTTCCTTTATACAGGGTGTTTCAGTTTATTGTTGCATAACTGTAAGATTCGATAGATCTTTTAAAATTAATGCATAAAGTATATATAAACATGGGTCGAAAAATGCGTGGCTTCCGAAATACAGGGTGTTTAAATTTACTTTCTAAAATAGTTTTTTTTAAATATTTCGAACAATATTTGATGTATAGCAGTGAAAATTGGTATACAATGGTTTTTTGGTACGACAAAACTAACCATGGGCATAGTTTTACTGTAGCCGCTAGAGGGCGCTCTCTACTGTACCTGTAGTGTATTAAAATGACCGAAATTTTTTTCTTAGTGCATTTTTTTGCTTTTTGAATAAAAAAACTAATTCTTCGCACTTTTCAACATAAAAAAGGTATTCTGTGAGTTTTCGTTATAGTTAGCCGTTTTTGAGATATTTCGATTTTTAAGGTTCGATGCATTTTTAATTATTTATGGGAAAATAATATTTTTTTTACATTTTCGATTTACAAGTAATTAAGATGATCGTTTAAATTGTGGTTTTAAACACAGCAATAATTCCTAACTCCAAATAAACACAAAAAAAAACAGAATATTAATTTGTTTAATTTTCCAATATTATTTTTAATAAATTAAATTAATTATTTACAACTAAAATGCTATTGGATAGTTAGGACAAACTTACAAAATCTAAAGTAGTTGCTCGAAATGTAAACCCAATTGTTCAATACACAATTTACATCTACGAATGATCGAACGTGGTTATTTAAATAAGGCCTTATTTCATCACATGCATTCCTGATTCTGTCTATTAGCATATCTCTTGTGGTTACGGGAGTCTGGTACACTTTTTCTTTTAGAAATCTAATGGATTTAGGTCAGGGGATCGTGGAGGCCAGGCGACTGGTCCTCCACGGCCGATCCATCTTTCTGGATAATTTTCGTCCAGCCAGTTTCTAACTATTCTCGAATAATGAGCTGGACAACCATCAAGCTGGAACCAGGCCAATCTTCTAAAATCTAACATAACATCATCCCACATATTTGCATGTTCCGCCTTTAAAAATTCCAAGAAGGTCGCATCATTTAACCTTGCAGGCAAAAGGTAGGGTCCAAATAGTCGATTACGGTAGATACCAATCCAAACGTTCACACTAAATTCATGCTGAAAAATTCTTTCCCGAACTGCATGCGGATTTTCATGCGACCAAATACGTTGATTATGAAAATTTACCACTCCACGTCTAGTGAAGCATGACTCATCGGTCCATAAAACGTTACTTAAAAACTCCCTATTATTATCAGTTCTATCAAGAATCCACTGACAAAATGTTCCGTCCCCTGGCTGTAGTCCTTGCACAGGTTGCAAATGGTAAGGACGTCTATGGTCATTTCTAAGAACACGGTGAACATGGCTTGCTGAAATTCCCAAGGCACCAGAAACTCTCCTAACACTTGTGGTCGGATCTCTATCAAACTCACGCACTTATCATGAGGGTAAATCTGCGCTGACGAACATTTATGTTTTGATCCCTTTGGAGATTTCCAAAACCATTTTCAATTATTTGGCAATGCACTCTTACAAATACTGAGCGAGTTGGATGTCGTCTGTTTGGAAATCTTCGTGCGTATTCTCTGGCTGCTTCTGCTGCGTTTCCATTTACAAATCCATACACAAAATGAATATCCGCTAACTCTTGATTGGAGAATAAAAATGGCATTTTTATAAAACTTACAAAAAAAAACAGGTAAAAGAAACTAAATTTCGTGCATTCACAATTGCAAAAAAACGTTTCAGGTTTCAACAGACAACAAAACTAACTGTCAACTAATTGACGTTTAACCTTATTCTGCTTTCAATTTCAAAAATATTTGCAGGCACAGCCTACTTCTAAAAATTATAACGTTATTTTATCATAAATAATTAAAAATGCATCGAACCTTAAAAATCGAAATATCTCAAAAACGGCTAACTATAACAAAAATTCACAAGAGAGCTTTTTTACGTTGAAAAGTGCGAAGAATCAGTTTTTTTATTCAAAAAGCAAAAAATTGCACAAAGAAAAAATTTTCGGTCAATTTAATACACTACAGGTACAGTAGAGAGCGCCCTCTAGCGGCTACAGTAAAACTATGCCCATGGTTCGTTTTGTCGTACCAAAAAACCCTTGTATACCAATATTGTTCAAAATATTTAAAAAAAAACTATTTTACAAAGTAATTTTAAACGTATTCGGAAGCCACGCTTTTTTCGACCCATTTTTATATAACCTTATACATTAATTTTAAAAGTTCTATCGAATCTTAACGTTATGCAACAATAAACTGAAACATCCTGTATAGTTAGGTGTTTCGTATCAGTCACTTTCCTCCTGAAGTTGTGGTGTGAGCGTCATTTTGTTCAATCTCCAGATTCTGGAATCTAAGGTGCCGAACACCAGTTAGGGGGGTAGTGTCAGCATACCATCATAACCAATACTACGTCTGTGTGCAGTTCGGTAGGGTGTTCTGGATCAAATATATAATAGTCAACTATTCAATTGCGTTCTTTCTAACAGATTCCTGTTCTTCAATCCAAGAAAAAGGTTCATCAGTTTTGGTACGTTTGGTGATACATGCCGTACGAGTCGCAAACTCAGGAATAAATTTTCGGAAGTAACCCGCTAAACCCATTAGCTGACGCACCTGCTTCACTGTAGTAGGTGTAGGGGACCTCACGAGAGCTTCTACCTTTCGTGACCCAGGACGAATGCCTGCTGCAGATACTTCTCTGCCTAAACATTCTAATTTATTCTGGAAGACACTTCTTAATGTTCAATCTACATGCATTTTTAGCGCTTGCAGCATCAACTCCACTGATGACAAATTTTCTTCGATTGTTTGAAATGGTATCAAAACATCGTCGAGGTACCTACACCAATACTACTATTCCTTAGATTCCCCAATGCTTCATTTATTGCCTTTAGAAAACAGCCGGAGCATTGGCTAATCCGAATGGCATGCGTAAATATTCATAACGAGTGTCCGGAGTTACAAATACCTTTTTATGAACTGAATCAGCATCGATAGGGATTTGATGAAATCCGGAAGACATGTCCAGGGATGTGAATACCTTACCCTTTCCTAAGCGCTCTAGCATGTGTTTAACACTTTGCGCTATCTTGACGAATAAGTGCTTTTTTGTATGTTAAAATAGCAATCTCAATTACACAAGCTGTTATAAGATCACTCATATCTACTTAATAATGTGGAAAGGTTCCGAAGAAAAACATATATTGCAACTATCTAAATATACTCGTATATTTATTATATAAATCTGATACGTTTTTTTACAAACAAATAAGTATGAACATCATCATGGCGCTTTCATTCCCCAGCCTTTGTTGGAACCTGCATAAATAAAAAATTAGTAAAAAAATTGAATTTTGTAGATATGTTACTACATTACAGATTTCATGGGTACCCACAGGAATTTTTCTCAGGGGTGCTGATCATCGTCAAGAGATAACTTTTGTGAAATTGTACCCGCCCCAAAATTTTTTGAAGAGCAGAGGTAGCAAATTTTGTCAAGCGGGACAAATCCTAAAAAATTCTCAAAGTTGTAGACAAAAGCATTCTAAATATGCAAATTTTAAGGTTCGAGCAGACTCCCGGGCCACGGCCCCACTGTCACCGCGCTGTGGGCGCCCATGTTATTGTTCAAAATCAACATGATGTGCCTTCGATTTAAGTGAAATTTTAGTGAGCTTTTGGGGTTGATAACGGCGTTGAACTTTTCATAGCGCTCCACTGTTCAAACAGTTATGTGGAGATTCCAACAGGTATGATCTTCAAATATTACATTCCTCGAATGAGTAATCGCTGCATCTCTGATCTTCCTCAGGATTTGCCAAAAGCCTGGCTATTGACTGGGGTCACTCTAGATCACCTTAAAAAAGAAATAGTTTTGATTGAGAGTTTGTCTTATAGTATTTACAAACATACCACACCTTTGTCTACTTACATTTTTATAATTCACTCTGAACAAAAGGCATATAGCTCAAATAACATAATAGGGACTTTATTGAATTGAAATGAAATATTACGAAAATGACATTTAGAAAAAAGTAAAGTTATAATTGCAAAGCACAGGAAATATCCGCCGGAAATTTAAATCTGGAAAATCAGACAACATCAAATGTGAATAAGCCGCCTGTTTTTGAGGGTGCGACATGATTGTCATATTGTGCACCAGCAACACTGCTTTGTTTCCCATTCGCCCCTCTACAATTACCTCGAGCGGTACATCAGAATAATCGTGGAACGATGGATCACCGGAGTGCCGACCGTGGAAGGCCGCGGTTGCGATTCGAGAAGAATGATCTAGAACTATCATAATTTTGCGCTCAGGGATTTTTAATTTTAATTCTAAAAGTATGCATTCTGGAAAGTGGATTTATTCCAATATATAATTACACTTTACTGTATTTATAGAGATCTGGGAACTGTATCTGTGTCTAATATTCGCCGTCATCGCCTCCGAGAAAATCCACCAGTTAGAAATGAAGCCACAGAAATAGCAGTTTTGGGACACGTAGCACTTGACCACATCCAAAGCACTCGTGGACTGGCTACTTCTTCGGTCTTCACACGTGCAACAGTACAAGGAATCTTGAAAGACAATAAATTTCACTAAAACTAATAAAGACAATTTTGATAGAAGATTGGAGTTTTGCGAATGTTCCAACGTTTAAT